ATTTATATATATATTTTTATTTTTATTTTTATTTTTATTTTTTTTTTTTTGAGGAAGAACGGAGGAGCTAAAACCTTTAAAATGATTTAACCGAGATACTTTTCAATATTATTTCAAGGTGTAATTTATTTCAATAATTTCATACTAAAGAACAAAGAATATTAAGACCAATTCATTTTAAAATTAGGAAAAATAATTTTGATATTATTATTTTATAACTGTTGAACGTAAAATGCGTGTTCAAAATAACTCAATTACAAAATTTTGATGTATGGCATAAGATATTGATTCTTCACGTAGAACAGGCAGAATCCTTGTAGTGCTAACTTAGCGGGAGATTAATACCTTGGCGGAAGAAATCACTGAAAAGCAGTTCCAAGTTCCAACTAAATAAGGTCAGATATTTAGACTTAAAAGAAATTTGAATAAATTTTTCTACAAATGTTTCTAAAAAAGAAAAATATAATAAGTTTTTCAAAAGTTAAAAAACATAAATTAATATATAAAAACTCTTTCATATTAACTTATTTAAAAGCTGATTTTTAGCCCAAAGAAACCAAATTAAGCTTATATAGAAAATTTTAATTTATTTTCTCTTCTAATTTTTTTCTCTTAAAGATGCTTATAGAGAAATTTATCCAAATAATCTCTAAATAAATTTTTAAAAAATTATTGTCATGACTCATTTAATAAATAGGCATGGCTCCACAATGCTTGAAAGTATGATTTTTTTTTTACTCCCGTGACATGCCCAGTTATATGTAGCAAAGCAGAAAGATGAAACATTCAAGGAAGGGGGAGGGGAGTAATTCAGGCGAAGTCTTCCGAGATTTTATAATCCATGTGGCAATTTAATGGTCAGCATTCCGGTGTAAGATACTAAAGAAGAAACAATCTCATGTACATTCTACTCAGGTTAATGTATCTGTCCTTAAAATACAGTGTACTGATTAAGCAGGCCATGTCAAATACCAGAAGGCTGCATCAGAGTGAACAATATGTTATGAATAGAGTTTGACCAAAACTGGCAATGGAATATCACCTAAGCTCCCACTACGCAAGCTTGACAACAGAAACAGGCTACTAAAAAGCCAAGCACAGCACCCGCAAAGACTTGAGATGGAGTGTGACCTAGAAGTTCCTTCAGCTTCCTTTCACTAATTGGATGCCCTTGAAACAGGTCAGCTACAATCAAATTAAGAACCTGTGTCGAGCCACACAATTTTCTGGTCAAAGATTTTCTTCCAAAGTATCAAATTACTATCACATAGAAACTGGACAATGACAATAGAACTCTCCTGTCATTTAAGTTGGATATCCTCCTAGCCTAAGGAACAATAGCAATAAAGAAACATTTGAGTATGCTGGCTCAAAAGTCTACGAGTGATAGTTTCTAGATCTTTGACATTTTCGGTAAACATCGACAAGGAATGCTTTAAATTTTCAATATTTGATTGTCATCGAATAAATATGGAATGCAAATGATAATATACGATGTATATGTGATATGATTTACAAACTAACAAAAGGTCGAGATATTCAAACCTAACTGATGACTTAGAAGTAGTACATTAGAGGACATTTGGACATAAATATCAACATGACACCATACTTTCTGCCTGTTTCCAATTCAAGTAATACTTCAAAAGTCAAAATAAGTAGAGTACAACTTGGAAGAGCAAAATATTAATGGAGAAAGAGAAACAACTATTTTTGGTGGCATAACAAAACCTAGCTAGTTTCTGGCAATCTAAGCTTAGCTTTGGGCTTACAACATCCTCTAAAATCTCATATTAACAGCCATCAAGAGTCCAACACGGCAGAAAACCAAATATTTGCAAATCAATAGGTCATTTCTTGCAGCACTAAAAATTAAAGGTTCCACATCCAAAAAAATAAAGGTACATTCAAGGATAATGTTTTCGTTGCGAACATTACTTACACTTGAATCCAATAAGTATCTGTTTGGATATTTATTTGGTCCTCCCCAAATCACTTCCGAGGACCAAACATGCGTTGAGCAATGTGCCAAAATGTTTGGCTTCCTCTTGGCACAATCAAGCTGGTGCAAATCAAATGTGATTTTGAACCCCAATAATAGTTATATGATTATGAAAGCTTAACATTTATTTACAAGCAAGGACCAATTACTGTCAGCACTTTCGTCATTCCATAACCCATGTTAAAATTCACCAAAGTGCTATCTTATATAGCACCTAATGAATCTCATAGTATGAACTAGGACGCTAATTGTAGTACTTTCGAGTGTCATTTTATAGTCTCAATTCGCCCTTCTTTCCCCTTGAGCTTATTTGCAGTAATTGAAGAGGGGAGAAATGTTCCTAATGTTCCAAAACTAAATTTATTTCCAGCTATGTGAACTGATTCCTGGGAATGTATATCGGGGAATATGTAATTATCATGTTATGTAAACTTGGTATATGACATCCAGATATTTTTCTGTCTTCATTCCCACAGTGAGGAGTGGTGGGTATATTGTATTCCCGCAGGAAAATTGAGAGTTATCGGATAATTCAACAAGAGAGTTGCTATGTTAACCATAGAAAACTAGGCCAATAGTTGAATGAATTTGAGGACATCAAAAGAGAGAGAAACGGAGATAGATTTTGGACCTGTTGGGACAAATTTTTTCAAAATCACTATAAAAGATGAAAATATATTAAGAGTCTATTTAGGTTAACTTCTCATGAAATACTTTTAGAAGAAAAAATAAAAAAGAAAAATAAAAAAAGGTTTTCTATAAACTAAAACTAACTTGACTAACTCTTATTAATTTTTTCAAAATCTTATTTTTAGCTTATGCTTTAACCAGTAAAAACTAGTTTTTCTTTCTATTTTTTTTCTTCTTAAAAATACTTCTGGAGATAAGCTTATCCAAAAGCTAAAATTAGCTTATATACTAGATAATTTATTTTCTTCTCTTATCTGAAATGTGAATAACATTCCCATATAATACTAAATTCGAACCAAACATTCTCAGGATAAAGTAATTCATTAGAATTTAGATTAAAAAGCATAAATCGAAAGCAAACTAAGTAAGAGGAATTGTAGGAGATAGTAAAGTAGAGTTAGCTACCTGAGCTTGCATGCCAGCATGTCTCCTAACGCCAATGGCATCATACATGACAATAAGGCTGAAGCCAAGACATACCGGAAAGAGAGAATCGGCGACACCGTGGCAGATGGCGACGGAGGTGGTGAGGGCGGTGCAGAGGGCGGAGTGCGAGGAGGGCATTCCACCGGAAGCAAACAAAAGCCTGAAATCCCATTTCCTCTCAAAGAAAAAGTTGAGGAAGACCTTAATGGACTGCGCTATGACCCACGCCACCAAGCCCGAAACGAAGGTGGGGTTCGAAGCCAACGAGGCCACGAAGGGACTGATCCGAAGCTTGGCGTTGGCGGTCACGCTGAGCAGCGCCACGCGCAAGCCTCTGCTCTGCACTGCGCTGACTCTTTGAATTTGAACTGAAGAAGGTGGCGCGTGGAAGAGGGAGGGAGAGAGAGGGGTGCAGCTGAAGGGTCGGAGTTTGGGTGTTAGAGAGAGGAGAGAATCCATGTGCCTTCTGTTGGTTCAGTCAGCATTGCATAGAGAGGGGATGGGGAACAATGACAGACATCAGCATCGGAGTCGGAGGAAACTTGAACCTGCGGGGATAAGAATGTGCCGTGTAGACGCTGAGTATAATTTATTGGACAATTTAGGCATATTCGTTTCATATTATCCTTTCCTTTCCTCACTGCTTTGCTCCAAAAGATCCACATTTCTGTCACATGATACCAAATCACTAGGCACAGAATTTGGGTTTTGGTCCATTTTACTAAATTCTTGGAATGGATGGAATTTTAAAAATTTATTCAATTTTAATCTCCATCTCATCATTGTAAATAAATTAAATCCGTATAAATCAATCTAATCTACTATAAAAATTCAATCTAAAAGATTAGAAATCAAATAAGCTGAAAATTAAACAAATAAAAATTTAAAATTTGAAATATTTTATTGGAATGGATCAAATTAAAATTCGATTCATTTTCCCTAACCAAATTTATACATATCTTTATTTCTTATATATTTGTAAAATTAGCACATAGCTTATACTTATTTATAAAAATATTTAATTAAATATACTTTTTTAGTAACTATTTAAGTAAAGGCGTATAAAATTAAACATCAAATTGAGTAAATTTTATTTTTAATAATATATGTTTGTATAGTTTTACCACCAATGAATATGTAATGAATTATACTTAGAATTTTTAAATAATTTGATTTAATTTGATTTATCATGTCGATGAGAAAAGAGGTTAATTTAATTTTTTTATGACTTTTATACATATCGTATTTATTTTTCCTGAGTTCGTAGACCTGGATTAAATTGGGTTACTTGTTTTATTTTTATTACATATAATTTAAATATATATATATATA